CAACCGGCTCGGGTGCTGCGCCGGCGAGGCGCGCCTTGTCTCTGTATCATATCCACTTGCAGCGGTGAGGCCGCTCGCTGGCATACCACAAGGGCGGCGTTGCATTTGCGTTGCAACGGCCAGCGGCGCGGCAGCTGCGCAGCAACAGGGCAGCTTCTTCCATCACCCGTTGTCACCGAACGAAGCTAAATGACATAGCACGCTGATTTACATCTCTTTCCCGTTGTGATCACGTGCTTCCTCGTGAGACGCCGAGAGGATCGCCGCGGTGCAAGGCGACACGGCCTTGTTGGGTCCTTCGACGGTTCCAAAATCCGTTCAAGGTCCTCCTAGGTCCATAGCGGCCGCGCAGGCTTTGAGGGCGGTGTCTGACACCGTCTGACAGCGTCCTGTTCCCGCCCATCATCACGACCTCCCCGACCCGGTCGTGAGCTGTATGTGATAGCAATCTCTCAACGAAACCCATCGAGAGAGCCTGAGCCAAACACATCGCGGCTCGCCGCCTGCAACGTGCCGCCGCTGCTGCACAGATCGCCGACACTGGTGCTGGTGCTCGGCGTATCCCTGCTGCCTCCCATCCGCGTTTAGATCAAGCCCCCTGTAGCCCACAAGATGGCGGTGATCACTGCTGAGTGCGCACACGCGCTGCTTTGGAATGCTACGCCCAGGTTGATGGTGTCACTGGTGGTATACCAGGCCCGGGCTTGCGAGCTCCATGCCTGACTTTCTGGCCTGAGGACCCACTTGTGGTGTTCTCTTGATGCTGAAACTTCAGAAAAAATATCTTGTTGCAGTTGCTGACCAACCCAAATCTCTGCACCACCTGTTCACAGGTGGACGGCGCCCCCGCGAAGGAGCAACACTCCTGCTCGTCCGTGCCCACAGCCTTTGTGACCCTCGACCTCACGGTTAGTGCTGGCACTGTCGCTCAGGCATTCTGCCCTAACAGGATTCTGCGTTGTGCTCGACGGAATCTTGACCGCCTTGCTTGTGTGCCTTAAATCCTTTGGAGAGATGCAAACATGTCACACACATGCTGGGCGGTGCAGAATCGAGGTCGATACACGCACGCTGCGGCGGCGGCATTGTTGCTGAGGCCCACGAATGATTGGTTCCCTCATCATGCCGTCGCTCACTGTCCGGCGTAGGCGCACCTGTCCCAGCTGCGGGTGAAGCTGAACGTGCAGGCGCAACGCCATCCGGGAGAGGATGCCGGAGCTGGAGCACGCAGCCGCTGTCTCCGCTGCTGCGGTGCAGCGCGCCACGGACGACTTGGACGCCGTCACCGCCTTGGTTCACAGTATCCTGCGCGCCATGTGCGCGGCGCACGAGGCGGCGGCGGCCGCGGCGGCGAACGCCCCCGCCAATCGCCTGGGCGGGACCGCCTTTTGGGCGCACAGCGAGCACGAGTGAGCGTCCCTCCACTTGCACACATCAGTCCTTGCTTGGCAGGGGTACCATGTTCCTCACGATCTCTGTTATTCTCAGGCAGGGCTGCAAAGAGGCCGCAAATTGATGCCTTGCAGCCTTTGCTCGGGTGGCGGTGGCGGTGGCGGTGGGGAGCGACTGCGAGTGCAACACAGGAGATTTGTGGCTGGCAAACCCGTCAATTGCATTGTACGGTAATCAGAGTTTTTCAGGCGCTTGGGGAGTAAGTTACATTGCCAACATTCATGTGTGTACTGCAAATGGCATCCTGCTGCGGTCACCCCAGTCCGAGCCTGCAAAGACGGGCACCAGAACACCGCAAGGCAAAAACACCCCTGATTTACGCATTTGTGAGGTACAGTAGCGCGCGTCAGCAATGTGAACTGCAACATCAGTATGGGCGCGCGCTGCGTCGCCACTTTCCAGCTGCCACCCTCCCCGGCACCTGCCGACCGGCTCTACACCCGTGTTCGTGCTGCTGCCTTTTTTCTTCTGCCCGGACATTGAGAGCACAATAGAAATTGTTTGTCATCGTGATCGTGCACATATGTGGTGATATAGCCCATGATGATGTCCACCGTGCGGCCAAAGCCCCACTCGGGGACAGTGCTAGCGTCGCAACCCAGGTGAGGACGCATAAAAAGCTCTACTAGTATGTTATCATAATATGTGTTACACACGCTTGGCCCACCTGCCCGCCTGTCTCGCGGGGCCCAGGATGCGGCCTGCCGGCCTCCGCTCCCTGGTACCTGAGCGCGACGGTGAAACGCGCAGCGCGCCGAGCTGCTGCTGCCCTGTCTCTCGCTCGACCCCGCAGTGACTGGTACCTCAGCGGCAAGGTGGTTTATGAGTATGAGACCGTCCTGGTCACCCTGCCGGAGTTGGAAGGGATCAAGTACGCCGTCAAGACGCACCCGCGGCGGGCGCTTACCGCCGACCCGGTACTGCAGCAGGCGGTGGGTGAGCGAGAAGCCTCCGCTGCAGAGGGGGTTGGTGTGGGCGGTGGCGAGCTTCATGACTCTGGTCACAGCGGGCGCGCGGACTGTGGCACCCTGCACTCTGTGGCAGCTGCTGCTGCCCTCTAACCATGATGCGCCCCCTCGATCTGTCGGCTCCTGCTCGCCTGCCCAGATGGAGACAGAGATCGCTGTCCACGAATGCCTGCAGAGCCGCCACATGCCCGTGCTCCTGGCGGTGGTGGAGGAATACGCGCACACGCACCTCGTGTTTGAGTATGGCGGCGTCCCCATTGCGGAGTACGTTGGGTCTGACGGCACCAAGGCCTGCATCGAGGAGAACCTTGAGGTGGTCATGAAGGCAGGCGCAGCGCTGTTTGAGGTGCTGCAGATCTGCGAGGCCAAGGTGAGGCTGGGGATGGACGGTCAAGGGGAGGACAGGGGCAGTACAGCACGCGTGTGCTCCGCTGTTCAGGTGGCGCAGAGGGATTTTTGGAGGATGGGTGGCAGCTGCCAGGAGGCAGAGGGCACGCTCACCCTGCTCCGAGGAGGGGTCACATGCCAAGAGAGAACGATCTGTGTGAATGTGGAACCACGCCGCCGCCAAAGCGAGGGCGCTGCAGCTCGAAGCGGTGCGGTACTTGACCGTCCATCGTCTCACAGTTACCCCCTCCCTTCCCTATAGCCTCACCAACCCCTGCACCGCTGTCGTATCGAGCCACCTCCCATCCCTTTCCCCCCCATCCCAGCCTCCCACGCAACTGCTCCAACATCCAAGCCCCCGCCCGTCTCCCCCACCCCTCAACCAACCCCCAGGGCCTGTGCTACACGGACCTCAAGGTGCAGCAGCTGCTGGTCAACACCGACTTGGAGCCGCCCGTGGTCAACGTCGTCGACATGGCCAGCGCCTCGTCCTACGGCAGCCTCACGGGCTTCAGCTGGGAGACGGTGCCGCCGGAGGGCATCGCCGCCGCCGTGCGGCCCGACGGCACCATCGACTACGACGCGCTGGCAGCCACCACAGGTCCCAGCTTCCACGCCTTCTCATTCGCCGCCACCCTCCTCGCAATGGCGCTGGGATCCAACCCCCTCCTGCCCTCAACAGCAGAGGTATACGAGGAGGTGTTGTTCGCCGGCCCGGCTTGCGACGGCGACGTGCTGAGCCCCAAGGAGCGCCTGATCATCGCCAAGGCGCGCACCGGGCTGGCGGCGTTTGAGGACCACCCGCTGTGGCCGATGCTGCCGGCCGCGGCGCAAGAGTTCTTCCGCATGGGGCTGCAGCCCGACCCGCTGCGCCGCGCCACCCTGGGCCAGCTGAGGGACAGCATCTGGGGCCGCGAGATGTTTGGCGGCGCCCTTGCCGCGGCGGCGCCTCCGCCGCTGGCGGCTGCGCCGGCGGCGGTGCTTGTGGTTGAGCCGCTGGCAGCGCCGCTGGCGGCTGCGGCCGCGGCAGACGTCGGCTCGAAGCCGGACCACGTGGCGGCCTCGCCGCCAGCCGTGTCGGGCGCGGCTGTTGCAGCCTGCGTGCCGGCGCCCGCACCGGCAGTCACTCAGCCGCTGGAGGTCCTGCGCCTGCGCGCCGAGGTGGCGGCGCAGCGCGCGCGGGCGGACGCGGCCGAGGCGGCGCTGCTGCAGAGCGCCGCCGAGCGCCAGCGGGAGGCGGAGCGGGCAGACGCAGAACGGCGGCGCGCCGACTCTGCCGAGGGCGCCTTGCAGGAGGCGTGCGCGCGGGAGCGCGGCCTGGAGTGCCAGCTGGTGGCTCTGCGCGCCGAGGCTGCCTCGTGGGAAGAGGAGCGCGCCCAGCTGGTGGCGCGCCTGGCGTGCTTCGAGGCCGAGGAGGGCGCGGCGGCCGACTGCAGTGCTGAGTGCGAGGATGCGCCGACAGCCAGCCAGCTGCTGTGCATGGGCAGTGTCAGCAGCAGCGTCGACAGCGGCGGTGCCGGAGCGTCAAAGTCGGTGAGCGCTCGTGCGGTGGCCGCGTCGCGCCAGACGCAGGACGACGTAGCGGGCGAGGGCGCCCGGCTTGGCCTTGGCTGCAGCAGTACGCCGGTCAGCGCCGCCGCTGTCGTGGGCAATAGCATCGGGGGCGCCGCGGCGCCCTGCATCGGCAGCTTCAAGCCTGCCGCAGCCAACGCCGTGCGCGCGGACCCCAGCAGCTCCTGCATGCACACGGCCAGCCGCAGCAGCGACGCCGGCACGGGCGACGCCGACAAGGGCAGCCGCTCCCAGGTGCCTGTGGTGGCCGCCGCCAACGCGGCCGGCCTTGCCACCAGCGGCAGCGCCTCCAACAGCTGCACCACCACCAGCAACAGTTCCCCGCGGGCGACGCCTGCTGCGGCTCTGCACAGCTATGTCACCGCCACCGTCACCGTCGTCGGCCGTCACAAGGGTCCCGCCGCGCCGCCGGCCAAGAGCGTCAGCGCCAAGCGCGTCAAGGGCGAGCCGGACGCGCGCACCCCCGCGCAGCGCCTCCAGGGTGCGCTGCACAAGCTGAACAAGGAGCGCAGGAAGGTCGCGGCGGCGTTCAAGGGGCTCCTGAGCGCTGCGTGAGTGTGGCAACGGCCTCACAAGCCCTTGGGCTGGCTGAGTGGCCTTGGCAGCTTCAGCTGGTTGGCCCGGGGTCCATAGTGGAAGCTGCAGTGTGTGTTGGGTTTCAAATGTAGCCGCTGAATATCTCTGTGTGCGCCCTCCACTCCTTGGAATGGCATGGGCAGCAGCTGTTTCAAACCAAATCGATCAGATGCCCTCGGTGGCATACACACTGATGACCGCTTGAAGTTGACTTGGATACCATACATATGCACCTTGGGAGTATGGACTGGCTGATACATTCCTTGTTCTGATCCAGCGGGCTGCGCTTCAATCACTTTGGCTAGACACCGGTTGTTTGGGGAACATTCCTGTGCACACTGCCAGGGCAGCAGGCTGGCTCGCATTTCTTTGCGCCCGGGCGGCACGCCTGCCTGCTGGCAGAGTTCAATAACCCTGGGAGTGCATTCTCTCTCCTGGCACGGAGCCTTATAGTTTCCGGCTTCGCTTCTGGGCCTCGCACCTGGCGGTACACTCCATGCTCCACTACACATTGTCGCTCCAACCAGCCCCGCCACGCATGCGCGGCTGGCCCAGAGTGACTGTTGCTGTGTTGAGCCTGCCTTTAACATAAAATGTCCAACCTGGACTTGACTGTGCAGCCAACTCAAGTGGTTGGCGCTCTGCATCTGGGTGCTCGCGCCTGGCTGTACGATACACTCCATGCTCCACTACACATTGTCCCTCCAACCAGCCCCGCCGCACATGCGTGGCTGGCCTTGAGTGACTGCTGTTGTGTTGAGCCTGCCTTTAGCATAACACGTCCAACCTGGACTTGACTGTGCAGCCAACTCAAGTGGTTGGCGCTCTGCATCTGGGTGCTCGCGCCTGGCTGTGCGATACACTCCATGCTCCACTACACATTGTCCCTCCAACCAGCCCTGCCGCACATGCGTGGCTGGCCTTGAGTGACTGCTGTTGTGTTGAGCCTGCCTTTTAACATAATATGTCCAACCTGGACTTGACTGTGCGGCCAACTCAAGTGGTTGGCGCTCTGCATCTGGGTGCTCGCGCCTGGCTGTGCGATACACTCCATGCTCCATTACACATTGTCCCTCCAACCAGCCCCGCCGCACATGCGTGGCTGGCCTTGAGTGACTGCTGTTGTGTTGAGCCTGCCATTAACATAAAATGTCCAACCTGGACTTGACTGTGCAGCCAACTCAAGTGGTTGGCGCTCTGCATTTGGGTGCTTCTGGATCCTTTGTCTCGTTGGTGTACCCTTCATGTGGATATTGCAATATACAGCTAGCTGCCAATTGTGGCCACAATCAGACACCTCTTCCCTGGTTAGGCACGGACCCATGCGTGTGCATGCCTTGCAGGGCGTCCCTGAGGATGTAACAAGTTTCTTGCTACTTCTACGCTCCAATCAAGTGGTCAACAAAATGACTTACCTTGCTGAGTCAAGATTGCACTGCGTCAGATGGCAGTGCCATTGATGTGTGGGTGCAAGGCTGCAGCATACCAAGGGAACTGCATAGTCATAAAAGCAGCTGATGATGCAGGTTGGCAGTGGCACTGCATCGACTCCAGGTCCAAGCGTAGTATGCAGGCAGCAGGGCAGCAATGCATGCTGCTTGCTGTGCAGCGCAAAATACTCAGTTTGTATGTTCTTCGCAGGAGTTGACTCAGTCAACCGGCCAGCAATCGGTTACCGGTTGTGTGCGCGTCCAAATCTGCAGCGCTTGGCAACAGTCAAGAATTGCGTTTTGCTTAGCAGTCTGTCTCTTTCTAATTTGGCTGCATCGATCGGTGAGCGCCCCAAGGTCGAGTCTGCCCAAGGTCGCGAAGCTGCTGGGCCGCGAACCAGAAGCCATTAAAAACCGATTCCATTGCAAATAATTTGAAGTCCGTGGTTCTGACGGTGTTGTGTGGTTCCAATGGCGCCCGCCCTTGGCCATGCCGCAGCTGTGCTGCTTGCACTCACATGCGCGGCAGTTGCGGCCGCAGCCAGAGAGCTGCTGTCTCAGCGCCAGGAATTTATTTCAGCTGGGGGCAGCTTGGTCGCTCAGGACTGGAGCTACGGCACTCAGGCAAGGGAGAACGTTGCCAGCAGGGGGGCAATAGCATGCTCCTGAGATGGGAGAGCGAGCGCAATGTGCCCCATGAGGTAGCCCAAGGTGTGCGTATATGCACAGCAACCAACCCCTTCGATGCGTTGCTGGGCTAATTTCAGGTGCCACCTGACGGGGCCGGCGCATCTGGAGGCTTCTGCCGCCGCATCGATGCTGACGGGGCGCTGGTCCTCAGCAGCCGTACGCCGCTGCCGGCCGCGGGTGCGACACTACAGCTGCGGCTCGCCGGAGACGTGCAGGCGCCCGCGCTGCAAGCGCTGGAGGTGTCCGCAAGCATGGGCGCGCCCAAGGGCGGCGGCGACCAGAAGAAGGTGCCCCTGGGACAGCTGCTGAACGGGGGGTCGGAGGGGTCTGTTGCGATGTCGTCGATAGTTGATGGCGAACATTTTGATCAGGTTGCCATTAAGCGGTCACAGTTTGGGTCAGATATCGTGACTGTTTGCATTGATACCCTGGCATTGACCTATTGATGATGATGTGCGTATGTCTGTTGGGCCCACAACAGTAAGAGCTGGGGCTGCCACTGTGTAATCTGCCATCCAGCGCACCCGTCCAATCCGTCTCTGCCAACAAGGACTTGCTCACTCTGCCCATACAAAAAAAACTAGTTGATCTTCTTAGGCGTCCATGCGACGCGCACCGTCTTTACTCAAAGACAAAGGGGTAAGTGACAAACGTGTCCCCGCCCTCGCAAGGCGGGAACTGCGCTGCAGTGAGGCCGTCGTAGATCGCATGGTGAACCGCCGCGCGCGCCGCCGAGTCCGGGTCCGGCAGCGGGTCCCCGTTGTCGTCTGTGATGGGCTGCCCCGGCCGCACAACCAGGGTGTCTGCGAGGAAGCCGATGTGTGAGACGAGCCCGTCCGCGCCGCTGATCTGCAGCCGCACGGCCAGCGTGCCCAGCACCGCGGGCAGCAGCTGCGCACCGGGTCATGATCCGGTGTTGGCGGCAAGAGAGAGGCGAACATGATCGGGGTCCGCGTGCACGCATAGGCGCCGCGAAATGTTGAGACGGCAGGGTGCTGCTTCAGCTGAATGCAGCGCGTGCAGCGGGGCAGACAACTTGAGGCAGGAGATAAAGCAGGACTTCACCCTGCCCCCACTCAAAACTTGGCACCAGACAACCGGACCGTCTGCCCACCTCTAGTTCCTCAAAAATGGGGTCCAGTGCCGCATTGAGGCTCTCCACCGCCGCCTCCGGCTCCAGGGCTCCTTCTATGAAGGGCGACGGCTCGGTGAACCAGCCTGGCACAGAGGAGTGGGGGCATGAAGGAATGGAGACGCTGGGAGAGCAACGGGAGGACGCCGAAGGGGGGGGGAACGAGGGGCGGACAGAAAAGCTCGCTCCGCTAAAGGCGGAGCGAGCTTTGCGCAGGCAAGAGCTTGCGGTTGAGTATTTGCGTGCCGACGTAGATTTGGGCCCCAGGGATCAAAATCTAGACGTCTGGTCACAAGCACGCATGGCGCTCCCTCAAAGCGATGGTGCCTTGCAGACAGCCCCACCCCAGCCAAATCCGCTCTGCCGAGGCATCCTCCCTCTGGCAGTCCCTCCGCCCTCTGGCCGACTCACCGTGGAGCACCAGGCGGCTTTTCATGGGATCCCGCGTGCCGCGCACCGGCCGCACCCCATGGGGTAACCGCGGGTCAAAGAGCTGCAGGCGGGGGACAGTTTGCGGTGTGTGAGCTTATGGCAAGGCCGGAGCCGGCCAATCGCAGCCAGGGATTATGGCGCTCGGCGCGCCGCCCTGCCCAGTCCCACTGCCAGGCAGGCGGGCCCGCCTGCCTGGCTGCCGCCCGGCTGCGGCTGATTCCAGGCATTTCTGCAGGCGCTCCCCAAGCCGACCAAGCACAGGCCAGCGGGCACAGCAGCAGCAGCAGCCCCCCACCGTGAGCTGGTTGAAACGGGGCTCCACCAGGGTGACGATGTCGGTCAACTCGAGGCCCTTGCCGGGCACAAAGCCGCTCCAAAAGTTGAGGGTGCCCGGGTTCAAGATCATCGTCTCCCCACCTGCAGGAACCAAGTGTGGGATAACAGATCAGCATAGGTGCGCATCCGCAGGGTACCCTGCCGGGCACGAGCGATTGGCTGCGCCAGGGCTGGAGAGGGGCGCTGCAACGGGGATGGAGGTGCGACAGCGCAACCCTGAGGCCGCTCGCTGCCAGCGCGCAGGCTGGGGGCGGCCCCCACAGCGCCGGGTTGGTCGGAGCCAACCCCTGGGCCCGCACCAGTGAAGGCGCGCTCCTCCCACCGCGTGAGAGACAGCACGAAAGCAAATGGCCCGTGGAACGAGTCTGCGGCGAGGGGGCGGGGGAGGGGGCGGGCGTCGGCGCCGAACGATGAGGCCCAGCAACTCAACACCTTGCACACGCCGTGCGAATCCGCGTCACCATGTGCGTGTCCATGCAACTCAAACACCTTGCACGTGACAAAACCCATCTCTTAGTTCTTGTCGACACAACCCATGCACCCACACACATCCACGTCTGCAAAACCAAGTACACATACACACCCATGCACATGCACACACGCGCACACACACACACACACATGCGCGCACACAAGCGCGTGTCTGCGCCCACCGCAGTGCAGCTCCTGCGCGCAGCCGTCTACGTAGTACGACATCCAGATGGGGCTGATGGAGCGGCAGCCCAGCACCCTCTCCCCGTAGGCCAGCAGATCGGACTCCAGCCGCTTGTACAGGGCCTTGGGGAAGTAGGCCGCGGCCTGTGGGTGCGCGTACGCGTGAGTGTGGGTGCACGTGGGTGCGTGTATGTGTGCATGTGTGTGTGCATGCATGCGTATGTGTTGCGTGTGGATTTGAGGGAACGTGCACATGTTGATGTACTTGTGTGCGTGTGCGCGCGTGTGTGCATGGTTTGGGGTAGGATATAAACATTGCGGTGTGATTGTGGGACTGTCTGTGCGCGCGTGTGTGCATGGTTTGGGGTAGGATATAAACATTGCGGTGTGATTGTGGGACTGTCTGTGCGCCGTTGCGTGAGTGTAAGCGCACGAGGGTTTGGGAGGAGGGTGTATTGAGGAGGCATACCCAGCACCACGCTTTTGTGGACGCTCAGCAGGCTGGCGGGGCGCCAAACATGCGGCTGGCAGTGCCACAGAATGCTCGGCTGAGATGTGGCGGCTACAGCCCTGCAGGATCCGGCTTGAGGCTTGCAGTCATGGACTGCGGCTGCTGCCCTGTTGCCGTTGCAGGCCCGCGCCTGCACCCTGCGCCTGCGGTTTGCCTGGCAGCTCCCCTTCCCACTCACCTGGGTGCGCACGAGGCAGTACTGGTTCTCTCTGCAGCAGGTGGGGGCCGGAAACAGTCGAGCATTTAGAGAGGAGACACACCATTTGCATCTGCTGGCCGTGGCGCCCACGTCGTACGCAGCGGTGGCAGGCGTTGTGCGTCCCACCAACCAACCCAATCAGTCACTGAGCAACCCTGACACCCCGGCTGCGGTTCTCACACGAACCAGTAGTCCCAGAGAAACCGCTCCCGCGTGGTCTTGCGAGGGTCCTCGAACCGCGAGTCAAACACACCGCGCAGCTGCTCGGCGGCCTCCGTGAAGCCAGGCTCGACGATTACGTGGCGCGCCTCGCTGAGTTGTTGGAGGGGCCCCGCCTCGTCATCGTCGTCTTGCTGCTCGACGGTGCCCTGCTCGTCCACGACGGCGCGGAGCTGGCCGGCGCGCTGCCAGCAGGGTCCCCGCCGCTGCTGCCCAGCAGCGGCGGCCAACAGCGGGCAGCGGGGCCGCGCTGCCGCGTGTGTAGCAGCGCAAGGGCGGTGGCAGCCACTGCGGCCAGCGCTGCCGCTGTGTGATGCGAGCCCTCTCATGCTATGCAGACGCTACTGAGGCTCAATAACGGACCTTCGATGTTGGTCCCAGACCAGCCGTGGCCTATAATACACGCGTTATGCAAATATTCAGGCTGGCAAGAAGTGAGCTGCCGCAATCGCATGCGTGCCAGCAAATAAATGGTCCTTGACACATATAGGTTGCTATATGCTGCTTGATGGTGACGAAAGCAATGTCACCCGGGTCACTTCGCCTCGCTTAGTACAGTTGCTTTGACAAACGCAGGAATCCCCGCTAGATGAAGAGACCAACCGATATAGAAGAGTATAGACATACGTGCAAGGAGCTAACTAGAGAGTGCTTCATCAGCTAGTGCATAGATCCAGCGTACGCTCTGTGAGGCCAAAGCCGTCAGTAACTTACCGTATGTGGCAATTATTAGGCCCTAAACATTTAATCAATGTGCTGAACGCGGGATCCCAGAGGCGGCGCGCCGCCGTGCACCCCGACGCGCCGGCAGGCCGCCACGCCGCCGCAGCTGCGGCTGCCCGCGCAGGAGGAAGCTCTGGCGGGAGCCATAGCGGTGGCCATGGAGGACGCCAGCTTCCAGCTAAACCTCAGCTTTGAGGATGGCCCTCACCAGCGCAAGCTTGGCTGGAAGGAGCGCAAATCACTGCAGGTGGGGGCGGAAGCGGCGCCGCATGCTTAATCCGCTGCGCGCTCAGAATTTGCTGCTGGCGCACTGGCGACGGGCCGGTTTGTCACGCCTGCCAGCTTTGAAGCAGCATGTACAGCTGCAGCTGCTGGAGAATCCAGCCGTCTTCAGGACCCAGGGGGCATCAAGCCCCTGGAGGACGCCAAGCGGCCGCATTCCCGCCCCCTCTCGCGGCATGTACCTTCTCGCTACAGGCTGCGCGGCGCAAGGCTGGGAAGGGCGGCCGCGCACAGCAGGCCGGGCCGGGCGCGCCCCAGCGTTTCGGCCGGCCTACAGGTCTAGAGGCGACCCCCGGCGCTGAGCGCCAGCCGCCGCAGCAGCCGCGGCCCGCGGCGCAGCGCGCGCTAGCGCCTGCACAGGCCGCGGCCCCGAGGCCGGCGGCAGCAAACGGCGCGCCGCCACGGGCCCCTCACCAGCGCGCGCAGCAGCAGCAGAAACACCAAAAGCCGCGCGCTGAAAAGCGCCCGCGGCGCGAGGGCAGCCCGGACGTCTGGGCGCGCAGCGCTGACGAGGACGGCGACCTGTCAGATCTTGTCGCGCTGGCGATGGCCAAAGAGAGGGAGCTGCAGGCCGCCCTGGGCAGCCAGGGCCCGGCCAACGGTGGCGGCGGCGGCGACAGTGACGAGGACGGCGGCGGCGGTGGCGGCGTGGTCGAGTTTGGGGACGCCGAGGATGAGCCAGACTGGGAGTTTGTGGCGCGGACGCAGCGGCACCAGAAGGAGCGGCCGCCGGCCAGTGGCGCCGGCGGCGGTGGTGGCGACGGGCAGCAGCAGAGGCAGGGCGGAAGGCAGCGCGGGGGCAACCAGCAGCAGGCGCAGCAGCAGCAGGCGGCCAAGCGGCCGCCGGCTGTAACGCACAAGGTCGGCGAGATGGCGCGCGCGGGCGCCCCGGTGCCAGAGGCGCAGCGGTCTGTCATTTTCGGCGACGCCGGCGACGCGGATGCGGCCCCCGCGGACTGGGCCGGACTGGGGCTGTGCCAGGTGCTGGCAGACCACCTGGCGGCGCTGAACTTCACGGCGCCGACGCTGGTGCAGCGCGGGGCGCTGCCGGCGCTGCTGGCGGGGCGGGACGCGATGGTGCGGGCGCCGACAGGCAGCGGGAAGACGCTCGCTTACCTGGCGCCCATGGTGCAACAGCTGCAGGTGGGGCGGCGGGCAGTCAATAAATGGTTCGCGTCCAACAATTTTTAGGATCTCCTGAGCAGAGGGAGGGCGTGACTGGGAGCCGCTGTGAGCGAACGGGCCCTGAAACACAGACGGCAAGGGGGCAACCCAGCGGATGGCCGCAGCGTGCCTGCAACCCCACGGGCTTGCTGCTGCCTCGAGGGCATGGGCGACGCCGAGCTCCCAGACTTGCCGTACCGACCGGGCTTGTGCCCTCTCGCGGCCGCGCCCCCCTTGCGCCCTCCAGGCGGCGTCGCCGCGTATAGCGAGGTCCGAGGGCACCTACGGCCTGGTGCTCAGCCCAACGCGCGAGCTGGCGGTGCAGATATCAGACGTGCTGGTCGCCCTCTGCAGGTGGGCTGAAAAACGTGTGCGCAAGGAGCGGGCGGGTGGAGGGGCCGCGGCCTGTGCGCGTTGCGGCGCGAGCATGTATGCGCGCGGCTGCACGCCGCGCAGCGGCCGTCCTGCATACAGTACGTGCTGTTCGTGCAAACAACTTGAACATTCGCGACTTTTGACTGACTTGCCCCCCTCCCTCCCAAAAGGCGCTTCAACTGGCTGGTGCCTGGCGTCCTCATTGGCGGGGAGCACCGCGGCCACGAGAAGGCGCGGCTACGCAAGGGCGTGACCGTGCTGGTGGCCACCCCAGGGCGGCTGCTGGACCACCTGCAGGTGACCTTCTCTGTTCCTGAGGGTGGGGGATGTGATTGCAGATGACACAGGAGTTCTCTGAGCACGCATGTGCACGCGCGCGTGTGTGTGGGAGGGGGTTGATGGGTGAGGTGGGGAAGGCTGGAGGCAGTTCAGTGTGCTGTAGTGTGCACATTGAGCGCAGGCTTTCGACTGCTTGTCAGCTTGTCAAGGCGCATGGCACCAGGATGCAGCATTCTTCCCGCCCCGCGGGACCGCCCAAGGGTATTCCCCATCCGTGCTCAGTACTTGACCTGTCATGTGGCTGCCTCAAAAGCAGAACACGACCTCGTTCCGAACCGACGCGCTGAGCTGGCTCGTGCTGGACGAGGCGGACCGCCTGATGGATCTGGGGTTTGAGTCCAAGGTCAAGGAGATCGTCACAACCTTGGACGCGCGCAACGCGAGCCTCGAGGACCACGACGGCGGCCGCGGCTCCGGCAGCAGCCCCGCGGCGGCCGGCTACGGCCAGCAGCGGCGGCAGACCGTGCTGCTGTCTGCGACGCTGCCGCCCGCGCTCGGCGCGTTCGCAAGGCAGCTGATGCGGCCGGGCGCCGCGGCCGTCGGGTTCAGTGCGGCGGCGCTCAACGACCCCGACGCGGCGGCGCAGCTTGAGCAAGACACGCTGGAGGGTGGCGACGCAGGAGCAGAGGAGGGCGCCGGCGCTGGCGGCGGTGGCGGCCTGCCCCAGAAGGCCGCGGCGACGGCATCGGCTGGGCCCGAGAAGTTCGAGATCCCCTCTCAGCTGCGCCAGGCGTTTGTGGAGGTGCCCGCCAAGCTGCGGCTCGCGGCACTGGTCGCGGCGCTGCGCGCGCGGCTGTCGCCACGGCGCGGCGGCGGTGGTGCGGCGGCAGTCGCCAAGATTGTGGTGTTCTTCTCGAATTGCGCCAGCGTCGAGTTTCACCACGCTTTGCTGACGCGCTGCAGCGGCGGCAACGGTGGCGGCGGCGGCGGAGGGGAGGACAGCGATGAAGACGATGGCGGCGGCGGCGTGGGCGGGCTGCTGCCTGTGGCTCCCCTGAAGCTGCACGGCGACCTGCCCCAAGCGGAGCGCACCAGCAACATGCTGCGGTTCGCCAAGGTGAGCGTGTGTGTATGTGTGGGGCAGAGAGGGGTAAGGGGCGCCTTCTGAATGCAGGCAGGCAAGAGGGTGGCAGCGAGGTGCAGGAAGGCTGCCCTCAGGCC